AGTTGTCCAGCTGATTTCTTTGTATTTTTAGTAGAGACGGGGTGTCGCTCTTGCTCAGGTTGGTCTCGAACTCCTGACCTCGAGCGATCCTCCCTTCTCGGCCTCCCAGAGTGCTGGGATGACAGGTGTGAGCCACCGCGCCCGGCCCTCTTCTCCTTCCTGCTCTTGCTCTGTCATCCTGGGAAAGGCCTTTCTGAAATACGACAAAATCGGGGGGTCGGACTAAGGTTCCTTTAAGCTTGAAAGTTCTGTGATTCTCAGCAGGGCCCTGAGTGGGGCAGGGCTGGACCCCGGGGCCTGAGGGGATCGCAGCCGCCGGGGAGGGCGTTTCTGGGCCGGGCGGTCCTGCTCCCTGGGGCCGGCGCCTGCGGTGACCTGTCTCTAGCGGTCTCTCCCTCTTCTCAGATCTTTGCGAGCATCGCCCCTTCCATCTACGGGCACGAGGACATCAAGAGGGGCCTGGCGCTGGCTCTCTTCGGCGGGGAGCCCAAGAACCCAGGTGAGTGGCCGCAGACGCCGCCCACCCTCGCTCCGCAGGGATCTCGGCAGTTTTCGGGGAGCCGGCATCCGCGTGATGGACAGGCAGGATGAGTCCCCTCCAAGCCTAGGTGCTGGGGACAAAGCACGGGGACAAAGGGTGGACTGTTTGCTGTGTGGGGAGGGGCAGCGCACGGTCAGGGCGTCCTGGCGTCAGACTGTCGGGCAGTGGTGCCGCAACCGTCTGCTTTTGTGACTTCAGCAAATTTGTGTTTGCTCTGCTTCCATTTTTAAATGTTCTGTCTTTTACAAAAACTAAATTTTATTTTATTTCGTTTTATTATTTTTATTTTTTTGGAGACAGAGTCTCACTCTGTCGCCCGGGCTAGAGTGCCGTGGCGTCAGCCAAGCTCACAGCAACCTCCAACTCCTGGGCTCAAGCGATCCTCCTGCCTCAGCCTCCCGAGTAGCTGGGACTACAACCATGAGCCCCTGCGCCCAGCTAATTTTTTCTATATATTTCTAGTTGTCCGATCATTTCTTTCTATTTTTAGTAGAGACGGGGGTCTCGCTATGTTGCCCAGGCTGGTCTCGAACTCCTGACCTCAAACAATTGATCCTCCCGCCTCGGCCTCCCAGAGTGCTGGGATGACAGGTGTGAGCCACGGCGCCCGGCCTCTGTGCGGGCTTGTCATCACGATGGCAGGCGAGCGAGGTCCGTCCTGTCCTCTGCTGATGGTACGGAGGTGGAGACAGGCACGGGGCAGCCGAGTCACTTGTCCCCGTCCCCACGGGGCAGCTCTGTCATCCGGCTCCGGCCCCTGGGTCGGCTTCCGCACCTGCTTTTTGTCCCGTCTGCCCGTCCCCCGTCCCCGGCGGCTCACGACGTCTCCCCCTCCCAGGCCCGTCAGATCAACGTGCACAGCCTGTCCGCCTTCTTCGACAGCGAGCTCTTCCGCATGAACCGGTTCAGCCACGACCTCAAACGCGGGGTGATCGTTCAGCAGTTCTGAGCCCCCGGCCCCCCGACAGGGCCCGCTGTGAGCCCGGTCTGGGGGACTCGGACCACCGGGGGTCCGTTCCCAGCGTGCTCACGGACGCGCGTGTGCTGGGCGGGGGTCCCGGCCGGACGTCCGGCTTCGCCCGCCGCGTCCTGGGCCCAGGCCGTGACCTGGAGGAACGGGGGTCGCTTTCCTTGGCCCCGTTTCCGCCCCCGTCCCCTTCCGGGCGGGCGTTCGCTGCCAGCGCTTCCTTTATCTGCTCGCCGGCCGGCCCTCCACGAGCGCTCGGGGCCTGGGGTCCACGTGGCCGTGCTCCGCGTACGCGGTGACGTTTTAGGTGACGACAGCAACCTCGTAGGGCGGGCAGGAGCGTCGCCCACCTGGCCTAAGTTTTGCACCCAAGTCGCTCCTGCCGGCTTGGGCCAAGGAGCGGGTCGGAGGCGTCCGTGGTCTTTGTTCAGAGCTCCGTCCTGCGGGTTCCCGGGGAGCGTGCTCCCCGCGGCGGCACAGGTCTGTCCCCAGAGTCGGAGGAGCTGGGCGCGGGTCACGGGGACGATCACCAGCCACGCCCCTGCCCCTCTCCCCGCTCCCTCCCCGTTTGTACATTTCCCTTTTTGTCCTGTAGTTGAACTTTTAATAAACTTGAGTCGAACGTAAACATCGGTGTCTGCTGGCCTCAACCCTGCCTTCAGCCTCCCACCGCCGGGCCCCGTCCGTCCTCCGCCTGCGGGTCCCTGGAGCGGTCAGGCCAGGGTAGAAGGACCGTTCTTCTGTCCGCAGATGCGGAGAAAACACAAGCGACGCGCCCGTCCCCAGGGACCTCGGTTCCAGACGAGCTTCGTTCCAGACAGGTCGGCTAGAAATTTCCTTTCAGACGTCCGAGTGCAAACGCAAAGTTCGCGGGCGGATTTGAGTCGGGACTGCTGAGCGGAGGTCTCAGCCGGAGGTGTCACGGGGCAGCTGTCCTGCCGTGGGGGATACCCGGTTACCCGGGGGAGCGCAGACAAATGGTCACGGAAGGTGAACGATGCCCGGCATTTGAACTAGCAAAGAAAATTTAGGATTGGGCAGAAAACGGGAGGAAAACCAGGGAGAAGGGTGTTGACGGAAGCCAGGAGAGGGAGGATTTTAAGAAGGTTGAGGGCACTTAGCCACCAGTGTAG